TCCCCCTTTGCTGTCAGCTTCTCCTGGACAGTGGAGCTAAGCTTGGCCTGGAGCTCGGCAGTCTGCAGCCGCTCGGAAACCATCTCCTCCCTGAACATATGCAAATTCATGCAAACTAGTCAGCTTGGGTGTATTAGAGAGACACGATAGGCCCAGCCATGATACATGATAGCAGTACCGGTTGTGACAGTGCTATAATCCCAACTCTGATCTATTTTTAAATACCTCTGCATGCACCAATACTTTTTGTACGGTGAATTGTGGACTGATAACAACCTGAGAGTGCTGTGTGCTGTCTGCAGGCTGCTCAGTTCAGCAGTGAGCCGGTCAGCCTGCTCCTTCAGCTGGTCAACATGAAGCCTGCTTTCTCTTCTGTCCTCCTGGGTCCGGTTAATGTCTTTATAGCGCTCCAACTCGCTCTGGAGGCGGCTGTGGGCTCGCTCCATCTGAGCCACCTGGCCGGCAGAGAGGCAAGGAAATCAAGATGGAGAGAAACTCTGACTTCTTTTTATCAGTCAACCTGGTTAGATAGCTCTTAATTTATCTATTTTTAACTACATATACATGTATTATATACATTATTTGTTTTGTAAATAATGTAATAAGTACATTTTGATATTATAGAATTGTGGCTTGAATGTGTTAAAATTAAGAATACATTAATATATGATTTTATTTAAATTCTTCTGATATTTCCCTAATTATTTGTTATTTAAATATTTCCTTGCTCTTATATAACAATGATACCGAAACTAATATTCAAAGTGTAATGGCGTGTCTGATGTAGGAGCTAAATACACAACCACCCAAACACTAATGTCATATTATTATAATTTTCATCCCTCTATATATTTCCTTCGTTAATATTCTTTGGAACTCATACATAGATACATGTTATCTTATTACAATTCTGATTTACCAGTCTAGTTTTCCAATACATTCAGGCAGTAAGGTGATTTCTTTATATATATTTTTTTACAACAGCAACAACCTAACCCTGAAGAAAGAATGCTTTGCCCAGTTTCATCAGGTCTGACCTGAAAAAACCACATACCTTTTCCTCCAGAACTGCTTTCTCCCCCTTGACTTGTGTGAGGCTCTTGATGAGTGTTTTCCCTTGTTGGCATTCTGTCTGACGGCTGTTCACCTCCAGTCTCAGCTTCTTCAGCTCTCGCTCACCTATCTGCAAAGCCTTTGGTGTAGAGATGAATTAGAGTTCCTGTGTTGTTTGCGACTCTAACTTTTTAATATTGTACTTTAAAACAAATACAACCGGAACTCTTATTTTCAAGATAAATCTCTTTACAAAATAGATTTTTAGCTGTGATGTTATTGTTGTTGTTTTTTTACCTCCTTGTCTTTTTTGAGTGCGGCCTGGGCAGCACTGAGGTCCACCTCCAGCTGCTTCCTCCAGTCCTTCTCCTCCGTCAGACGGGCCTCTAGAAGAGCCAATCTCTCCAGGCTGCTGTCCCTTAGGTGCTTCATACATAATGTACAGAGAGCATTAATAGGTTGCTGTTATGGAATTTGAGGCATATAAACTCTCTTTATGGGCCATCATCTAATCTACGCTGGCTGATAGTTAAAGTTATAGTTGGTCATTAAAGTGTATTCTTATTTTTTACATTAACCATCATATGAATGGAAATGTGATAAGGAACTATTGCAAGAACTTGATGATACAATAAAACCTGTTGTTCTATTCAAATCCAAAGGAGATTTATTTTAGGCAAATTTGGGAACAGTATTCCTTAATCGCTATACCTCTTTCAGCATCATTTATTGACCTGTTGAAGCTAATAGAAAAAATAACTTTATTTTAAATGATAAGCATTAGTAACAAATCATTGTGCTTTATTTGAACCTGTGGATTGTCACAAGTCTAAGTGTTTTTGCTGTGTTGTCACCCCACTGTGAAATGAGCACAGAGAAAGCAGCAGTGATATTGAGAGAGTGAGGTTTTACCAGCTGTAAGAAGGACTCGGTGGCTTCTTCTCCATTCTTTAACATTTTGTCTTGGACATCCTGCTTCTTCAGCTCTGCCTCCAGCCCTTTGATCTGCAGAGACAAGTTAAGACTATTACTCACTCAGCCATTAGAGAGATGATGGTTCACAATACTGTTTGAGTAATTCTAGTCAACAACTGGCATTAATGAATGTCAAATAAATGATGATGCCAGGCAAAGGGGCTAGATCTACAGGAAAAACTCAAACTTTCAGAGGATGACTCATACATTTCCGAGTAATAAAATCAGCCAGAAATTAGAGTAGTAAAATAAGTAAAGAAACTCCAACATTTATGAGAAAATACTTGAAGAAAAGAACGTGGTGGTGGGATGAGGTTGATCCTTTTCTAGAAGTGAAACATTCTCTTCTAACACATCTGTAATTTCATAGATAGAATTCTGAGCTTTTACTTGCAATTTTACGATTTTGTAATCTCAGGGAATATCCCAGATTTCTTTTAGGAATATTACCCCCTTCCAAAAGCTCTGTAGTACAATTTGTTCCACCCTACAATGGCACGCTATCAAACACACTTTCATACTTTCCACAAGTAAAATACTTCTAAGATTCCTTTAATTTAGTAAGTAATCCATACAACCCTCCTGCAGTTAAGAAAACGTTTTTTAGGAAGTTTGTGCTTTTCATTACCCTCCTGTGCAGTCCCTCCAGCTCCCCCTCGTGCCGGTGCCTCTCCCCCTTGCTGGCGTTCTGGGCCTCCCCCAGCAGCGCCTCCAGCTCCTCGTTCCTCTCCTCCAGCTCTTCCTGTTCCTTGCGTATCCTCTGGAGCTGCCGTTTCAGATCCTTCATCTGAACAAGCCTGTCTTCCATCGCCTCATGACACCTGACAGAAAATAACAATGGTTCAAGTCAAAGCAGTATAAACAGTCTAAACGAACGTCAACATTATTTAATCACTCTGTTTCCCAGGCTGGTTATGTATACCGTTTGTGCATGTTATCCTTTTCTTCGGTTGGCGAGCCGGATAGATTGTTTTGTGGTTCACTGCTGATGCTCCTGTTCTTTTCATCCTCTTTGGTAACATCTACGTCTGTGTCGTGTATTGCCGACTGGACAAACACAACACCAAATAATGTCAAACTTCTGCGACAACATAATAAGTTATTTGAACAAAAATAATGATTCAAATACCTGGTCCAAGAGATTTCTCTTCTCTGACTCTAAAGTGTGGACTCTCTCCCTCAGAGCTCTGTTCTCAACATCTAGTTTGTCATTTTGCTCTTTGGATCGCTGCAGCTTCATCATATCTGTGAAGGGAAAAACCATGACGGTCAACATCAATTTTTTTCAGTCTAGTTTTGCTATATACCATATGAAGTTATGACTTCACATAGTGTTTTATTTGTCCATCATTTGCTTAGAAATTAGTTTGAGATGCAGGTTTAAAATTATTCCTCAGTCCTTAAAGCGAACTGTACGAAACATTTAAGCTTACATTTGGAATTCTTCTTAGAAGGGTGAGGGTTAAATTCAGAACTTTGTGCATTTGTCAAAGTGAGATTGTTTACTTATATCTAAAAACCAACATGATCCAAGTTCATAATTCAAGAACGAGTAAGAATATGAAGTAAATCAGGTAGTTTCTACATCAGTAACTGGTATCTAAAAGATTATTACATTTAAAATAATTGTAATAAATGTGTGTGAAGAATTGAAATTAACCTAAATATAAATAAAGCAAAAAGAAATGTTATATTTCGTCATTTTTAAGCAGAAATCTGTAATATCCAAACTATTTTTTCAACCCTACAGAGTCCTATAAACCCACTCATTTGAACAACTCTCCTCCAACTGGAATTTTCAAACAGAAATAAAAACTCCAGAAAACCTTAAAGGAGAGGTGTCATGCTTTTCCGGTTATTACCCGTCCCCTTGTGTGTTATGAAGGTTTTTATGCATGTAAACGGTGTGCAGAGTCAAAACCCTCAAAGTACACCCATAGCGAGTAAAACTCTAACACAGAAAATACCTCCCCAAAACGCCTCGTTGGAGATACGTCATTGTCCATTTGATTCTTCGGGACGGCATGATGTCAAGCCGTACCCGGAACGAAATGGACCAATCCGTGGAGCCGTTACGTTACGTCCGCGGAGCCGTTACGTTAAGCCTGATTGGTCCAAATTGACCAATCCACGGACTTCCTCACACACACATCTGTGTGCAGGGAGCAGGCAGCTCTGCTGATTTCTCCTCCCTGGCTGCAGGCTGATAACAGACAGTTGGATCGCGGCGAAATTCTCTCTGCAGACCCATTCTCACAGCGTTTATCAACCTTTTTCTTACTCAATATCAAGCCACACTTATTGTTTTTACTTCGGCTGTGACTTTGTGTGTGCTCAGGATGAATTTGGCTGTGTTTGGCTGTGTATCGCTAACAAGGAAACAACACCTCCACGGAGCTCAGCGCGATTCACAACGTCCCGACCAATCAGAGCACACTGTGCTCACAGGGAGGGTGGGGGCTGGAGCTTTGGAGCTACAACGAGCCGTTAAAGGCAGAGAGTGAAATTCAGTGAATACGTAGTTTACAGAGATGCTGTATGAGAAACCAATGTGAGTTTGGAAAATGCACAGTATAAATCTATTCTAGTAGACCTCAACAATGGAATTATGATCAGTGGAAATGGCCATGACACCTCTCCTTTAACTAAATGGAAGTTTTCAACATCACACCCAAGTCTATCTCACCACAGTGTTTCAGTTTGTCCACTTCCTTCCTCAGGTTCTCTACTTCTTCGAGTGTTCCCTGGAGCTCAGAACCTGAGGTTATAAGCATATTTTTTGTTGTAATGTAATGCCTTTCAAAACATTTATTTTTACAAGCTCCTAATGAATTCCTGTACCTAGCTATTACAATTTAAAAAAGGTATGCATTAGAAAAGGAGTTTGTTATCTTGCATAACCAAAACATGTTGAAAATGATTCGAGGCAGACATTCAAGCTACTGTATGTGTGATTTACACATTATAAAAAAATATGACAAGTCAATGTCATCATTTGTATGTTTATAACAATAATGTGCACAGAACATTGCAATAGTGTTTAACATAGGCTTTTTAGTGTTTGCACCATACCACTTGGGTCCAGGTTGTTGTTCTTTGCAGCATCCAGCTCATTGGTGAGTCTGCGGATGTCCTGATGAGCCATTGCCAGCCTCCTAGACGCCTCCTCAAGGTCCCGCTCCAGCCGATGGCGCTCATTTCGCTCCTGGGAAACCTGCTCACTGTGGGCCTGACGCAAAAATAAAGTGTGGAGGGTAAGAGTGGGAGGAGTGTGGCAGCAGCGAAGATTAATAGGTTGACGGGAGAAGCAAATGGCCCAACATGCTGATGTGAGAGACATGCATTCAGGCGTTTCAGATTCATCATCATCATCGCTGGCCTGGAGAGAAGCAATAGTGTCAACATTCACCTGCATAGTGACACCAGTGGGACAAAAAGTACACATGCTGTCCCGTGACATGCCGTTATTTTTCAAACCACTTCGAGCACACATAGGTTGTTAGAAACAAATATTGACAGTCGTGTTTCTGAGATAAGCAGTGTCCTCTGCATCATAGTGGTCATGCGGATATCAAGGCACATTATCAGCATGGAACATTTCATAATGTGAAACAGGCCAGTGATGTCCTCTTTATCATTACACCAGTGTTAGTTACTCAGTTAGTATATGCCTTAAGGTGGAAACCTACAGGGGTAATATTGTGTTTGCTCTGACCAGACCTGCGCAGCCCAAACAGCTTCTTCCATGGACTCTGGGATGAACACTGCTGAGAGGAAAGACCCATGTGTGCAGAATCACATTAGACATTACTATCACCTGGTATCCCTGTCTTTTAAAGGATTCAAGATTCAAGATTCAAGGCTTTATTGTTTAGCTACAGTGTAGATATGGCAATGAAAAACTTAGGTCACAGGCTCCTCCAACAGTGCAACATACATAGAACAAATAAAACAGATAAAATAGTGCAAGAGAATGTTTTGAGATGTGCAAGTAAATACAAATAAAATAGAAATAGTAAAAGGGACAGTTCACCCAAATTATCAAAAGTACACATTCTTCCTATATCCTGCAGTCTAGATTGTTGGGATGTAAGATGCCCAGTGCTGAACATAACGGTCGTCTGCCTTCTCTTGAATATAAAGGAACTACATTGTATTAAGCTTACTCAAGAAAATAGTTACTATATTTAACCATTCATGATTTCTGGAAAGAGACCATTCTGTATGAACTGTCCCTTTAACTGGAAATATAAGGGATGTTTTTTTTGTTCTCAGACTTAATTTAACCTGATGTATACAGACCTGTAACTCAGCAACAAGCACAATGACCTCACCTTTGTCATGTTATCTACGGCTTTCTGCATATCATCCCTGTGCTGCCTTAGCTCCTCCCCCATCGTCTGGCGAATATGCTCCTGTCCAGTCAGAGAGACGATAATATCATTCATCCACGTTTATACGGTCTCTGTATTTGCCTTGGATAGTCAAATATTACATTCCACTAAAACAAGCAAGCCTAGGGATAGGTTTACTAAAAATGTCAATATGACTGAAGACTGATTATTTCAGATAATAGAGGCTGTGCACTTTCGCAGGATGCCTTACATTTACAGTATTTTCCAATTGGACTAGTATGGTTCCTTTCCTACATGTTGACGAAATGTTAACAGTCCTTTAGAAATTCAAACAGTCCTCCCCCTTACAAAAGCCAGTCCTGTACCTGGTGCTGGACTTCCATGAAGCTGCCGGTGAGGCTCTGACTTTCCAGTCTCCTCTCAGCAGCCTCCAGCCTCTCCAGTAGTGTGGCCCTCTCCACCAGCAGGTACGCCACCTGCTCACTGGGGCTGCTCAAGCCCATCTCCCCGAGTTCCTCCTGAGCCAACATCTCTGCAAGCTCCTTGCTCTGACCCTCTGGAAGAAATGGGAGATTTTAATGGACTGTCAAGATCACAACAAAATGCTGCATGACAACTTCTATAGGGAAGCAGACTGATTGTGAACATAACTTGTAGAAACGCATGCCTTGATATATTAACACAAAAGATTCTAAAGCATTCGTTGCAAATACAAATTGTACGCTATGGTGTTTTAGAAATATACTGCTCAGGGGTGAGGTGAGCCAGGCTATGCCAACATTGCACTATATTTAAACTGAACTCACCCTGTTGTTGTCTGATTTGGTGTAGCTCTTCGCGCAGCTGTTCATTGTCTCTCTCATACTCCGAAGTAAGAGACTCGCGCTCTTCCAGCAGCCCACGAATATGTGAAACATAGCTCTCTACCTGACAGACGAAAAGAGAAAAATCCAATAGAAATTCAACCATGTAATTTAGACATTTATGTGAGTTATTTAATGTGCTTAAGTCACAGGGAATTATTCACAGGGGCCTTAATTTTACTTTTAAGCATCACAGCTTTTACCTCTCTTCTCACTCATTTTTCCAAGCACAGGCAAACAGCCTTGGGAGAGCTGTTTCTAGCGGTATGATAAGGCAGGCCATTTCTATGTGCTTGGGCTTTAACAACAGCTGTGTCTCAGATATGACCATAAAAACAATCTCTTCTTCAGACAATAGCAGGACAGGTTGACCCTGCCAGGGACAGGACTTGCAGCATCTTCTAGTAAAATGTTGATTATTTTCTTAGGAGTGGTTAAGTATCAGGGACAGGGGAAGAGAACTTCTGAGTTGGTTTGACGAGAGGCTTTGTCACTACGATGTTTCAGCAAATGTCTTTTTCAATACTCAGTGTCATTTTCAGTGTCTTACATCAATTGCATACCCATCTTGATTATCCAGTTCTTTGCTTCAAGAATTTCATCAAAATGGGCACAAAAACAGCACTTTTATTTGTCTATAGTTTTAATGAAAATAAGGAGCACACTTTGATAAACTGGTGGTATGGTGATTTTCAGGCGACACAGATAAGATCACCAATAATATCAAATTGTTGTGGTTTTCAGTTCATTAAAGAAAGATTTAACGAGCAAATATGGATGACTTATTACTCTGTAGCTCTGACACAACCTAATCTTACTGATGTTTGTCAGTATTACTGGAAAAAAAAAGCAGTTCACTCTTGTATCCTATTCTTGTATTAAACATAACATTCTTTTATGGAAAACGTCCGCACCACTAATCAGTATTAGGGTGCCGAACTTGTTATTTTTCTCTTGGTTTATTGGTGGACTGCAAACCAACTTTAAAAGGTGCAAACTGACCCCTACTTCCATCGTACATAATCAGATCAAGAGGACTGACAGTGTTACAGTTTGCGAACCCCAAAGTATTGAAAATAATCACCTCCTTCATCTCGCAGGCCTGCTGGGTACGTAAAGTCTGCAGCTCCTGGGTGGCTGACTGAAGATTTGCCTCCCTGGCGAGCAGCTGCTGCCACAGGTGGCGCTGCCGCTCCTCCACACCGGCCCCCGGAGGCAGGCCATCCTCCTGAAGACGCATGGAAATCTTGTCCAGCTCCGTCTGCACCTGAGAACCCAGAGGAGGAGATTAATGTTCTGTAAACCCAATATCATATTGATCACCTAAGTGTTAACTTAACTGTTATGTAAAGCTTGTAAGATATTATAAAATAAAACCTCTCAGTTATGTAGTGAATCAAGAAGCATCCACATAGTAAGCTTGTCTGTGAATGGGTAGCCTTGGGTTCACTGCTTTTCAAAGCTTTGCCTATTATAGCAAAATCTGTATTGTCATTAAACTAAAACCTGATACAATTCCAAGGATACTTTTGCTCAAATGCCTTTAATTTACTTCTAATAATACTATGTGGTTATATGTGACATGCTACTACACCTGCAACACAAATACCTAAATAATCTATCCTTCGTCCTTTAAATTACTTACTTTTACTAAATGATCAGGTAAACTATCCTGCAAACTAAAGTGTTAACAACAGTTTTCAACATCAAGGTTGTCAGTCTCACTGACAACGGATCTCTTTGTGGGACACATAGGAGAGAGACACAACATTATAGTGTCATGCCAGCACTAAACACCTGTTGCTGAATTCAATACTGTACATTGTTGAGCTTGTAATCTGAGCAGCACCCCTGTGCAGCATTTCAACTACTCCAGAAGCTGTCACTGCTCCAACAACATGTAGCATATTGCTAGGTATCAGGTCTCATGTGCCTGTTGTACTTAAACACCACGCCAACTGGTCTATGAGCCTGCCTTTGTGGAACTATTTGCTAAAAGATTAGATGTAAAACAACGACAATTTGCATACTCATAAAGTACTTCTGGTGTTGAACACTGGGACAAAGCATCTTAACAGTGACTGTCACTATGTTATTTCTAAGTAAAGTAACAGATGTGATTGATACCTCTTCATGATCCATGGCCATACATTAAGCAGGAGGAAGCTGCATCTGTTGATGATGGCCTTTTTCCTTAGTGTTAAAAGTATTGATCCAAAACAAAAGGCTAGCCTACATGGTATCCCATAGAAGCCAAGTCAGTTTGCACTGATGTGGTGAAGATCAGCATATCCTCAAACTTCCTCTCTTCCATTGTTGTTGCAATCCATTCATGACAACATGTCTTGTCCTCGAGTTCCCCTGCAAAAGATGAGACACTTAATAACAATGCATTCAAGTCATGTTAGGACCTGCAGTTGCAAGCTTAGAGATCAGACTAGCTACCTTAGTTTGGATAGGCACACTCCAGTTTAACAGCTGAGGAACACTGCATCACCTGAGGCTATGCAAAGCTTCAGGATGATTAGCTATGTTGGCTCTGCTGCTATGTTATCATGAGGATTTTACCACAGACAGCAATAATAGTAATAATGTTATCTCTATCATTGAAGTAGGCGCTTTTCTGTCCTGCATTTGGGAACATTGCACGTAAGCAACGATATGTATACACCACAAATAAATCCCTGCAGTTTGCACAGTGCAGTGGTTATAACGTGACGGCCTTCCTCTCATGTGTGCCATTAAAAAATGTTTTTCAGCTAACTGTTCTTCCCAAAATGTCTGACGAGGAGCAAATGAGGGATTTTGTGGGACAACTTGCATTCCATTTGTCAACGCAAGCTCACTGGTCAGAAACATGTCATTAAGTAAATATATGTGTGTGCTAAAGTAAATACTAAATAACCCACACTGGCAACTGGGACGTCACGCTGCGCTAGCTAGTTAGCAAACTTCGCTCATAAGTTACCGTAGTATACTTCACACACACACAGCTAAAGCTAGCTCGCTAACGGTAGCCATAGCTTTCTCCGATGACCGCTTGGCAGCCACTTGTTAGCTCCGTAGGGGAATTGTTACGATAACCGAAGGCTACTGTTGAATAGCTACATTATTTGAAATGATTTAGCAGGGTATGCAATGTGCCGTTAAAGTTTTACTCACCTTTCAAAGGGTAAAAGCAACACGAAAGCTAAGTGCTGAGGACAGGCGTGGCGGAGCGGATTGGCTTCTACAAACACCTAGGCAACGGACTGTACCATTAAATGATGCAGGGAGAATCCATCAGCACAGTTGCAGCCATGAAACCGCACGAAACCAACTAGTTTACGCTGTTTGTTTCAGTTTAGAAAAAAAATATCCCAGGGAATATCATTTTAGTAAATGACAGCTTCGAGATGTAGTAAAAGTTGTACTTTTGACGAGTTTGACCAAATCTAGATAATTAAGTTGAATGCAATTAAACGGTCTTTTAATTGGTTTCGTCTTTTGTTACCAGGTAAACAAAAGTGATAGGAAGGTTTCTGTGTCTGTATGTAACGTGGTGTAATCTGTATCAATATAGTACTTACTTCACTGTTATTGATAGTTAATGGACTTTTGATGATATCTCATAAATGTATGGATTTAAACACCAGGTGGCGACAAAGAAACATTAGTATTTCCTGAGATGTGAAATATCAGAATCATTTGTATAATTGTACCATTTATTTAGCTCAATCTAGCAATAGTATTTATACAATGTTTGATTCCTAAATGAATGAAGGGGTACAGGTATTCATAATCAATAATACAAAAACAAGTTAAATAATGTTTCTTCTTGCCTATTCTATTGAACCCATATGTACATGTACAATTGCTGTTTTGAAACCTTATAATTCAGGCCTGTCTTGTTTTGCTTTGACCTCCACTATGACTACATGATCAAAGATGAAGGCCTACACGGTGAGTCCCACCCTGATGTTTCCTGTGTGACCAGTACACAATAATCATGATGCCTGGGTGTAGAAATGTGAGTTATTTTGCAGTTGTGTGTTTATTCTTCACATCTACCCTATAACAAAACTGGGATCACGAATGCATAGTAGAATGGTCATTATGCCAAAAAAGCATCCAAAGTGTAGTGTTTACAGAGGAGTTATTTTCATGTGGTTTTATGTGCCTCAACTGCCCATGGGTGGATCCCATTTTAGATGGGTGGAACACTTATTTTGGATGGTGATGTTGTACTAAAAGAGACCTCTGTTCGGCACAGAGGAAATGGGCGTGCTCCTTGGAAAGTTTGGATGGAGTTGCTGTAAAAATAAGGGGGGTGTGGTAAGTCTGAAAATAGAGGACCACCAGAAGGGACACAACTGTAGAGTGGTGAAGCTGCGTTTAAGCTGCTCCTAAGATCCGATTGAGAGGGACTGGCAATACTCAGTGTGAGTACATCATTCCTTGACATTTCATATGACTTCTATATATTATTAGTTAAATCATGGTTCCAGTTGTTTAAAAAAAAAATGGTCAAAGTAGTGATTCTTGCATCACATCCCCTAATGGACTCTAGAGTGGTGCGTAGCAAAAGACTCATGCTTTTATTATAACAGATTTTGTTTGCCATACAATATAACGTTTTTTAACAAACCGTTACTCATCACATCTTTGTAACAGTACACAATTTTTTTTTTTTCATAACCATTACTAAATATTTAAACGTTTTGACTCTCATGTGATGGATGGAATCTAGTGTAATGAGATAATTTGACAGTAAGACTCCACCGCCCACCCAAACAGACATAGAGATAAAGGTCTACAGAGTCAATTATGTCCGTCTGTTATTTTCTGTCTTTTTTCTTTCCATTGCATGTCTCCTTAGTATGAAGTAAAATGTTGTTACTAAAGCTTTGGTAGCCAATTTAGCGTTTGCTCGTGCACTACCGTACACTAGATACAATAGAAAATAGCTTTCTTAAATCCCTGTTTTTTCCTCAGACTTTAATTTCCTCTTAATTAACAAGTAGTGCCTCTTTATTAAATCCAAATCTAAGTCATCACATACTGTTTACCCTATACAAATATATATATTTGGAAGGGTGGAGAGGTTTATTGGTTAAATATTTTGAAAAGGTTTAGCTTGCAACAGGCCCGCCCAGGTTCTCTGAGGTTAGCTGTATGATGGCAAACGCAGAGGCCAGTCAAAGTTACAATTTAGAAATAACTCATTGCCCCCTGTTTTGAAGCGTGGGCTTTAAAAAACACAGTATACTCTGTTCAGCGACTGAAATTTTCCATTTAAACTCTTCGGGGCAAAAACAGGAAAGTTCTCAATTACTGATTTTATAGAGACCCAGTAACAAGTTAATTGGTCACAAGCAAGCATTTCCACGCTTACTGTTGAATGCAGTCTTTCTGGAAGCCTACATTTAAACAGTTGTGTTTATTTTCGGCAGGGAGTTGAAAATGGCGTACCTGCTTATGTTTGTGACCCTGCTGCATCTCATCACATTGGCAATGCAGTTCATTGCTACCATGGAGAAGGTAGTATTCATATCTGGGGCTTGATTGTTGACTTTTATTGTATTACCTCATAAATGCAACATATCCAGCTGACGGTATCATCTCTAATCTCTCGTTAAAGTCCTGGTGGGGAGTGGGATGGCCTGGAGAACTCAGACCTGTGGTACAACTGCAGGTTTGACAACTTCACAGGATCTTGGTTGTGTACATCCTCCAAAGAAACTGGTAACAAAACAATGTCATTTTGTCTACCTCCACACACGATCATTTTTTCTTCCACAAGTCAAATCTGAGAACTAACACTTGTTATGTGGTTTCCTTTCTCAGACTGGCTTCATGCAGTGCAGATCCTGATGGTTATCTCAGTGGTCTTCTCCTCAGTCTCCTTCTTGGTGTTCCTTGGTCAACTCTTTCACCATGTCTAAGGGCGGGCTCTTCTACTTCACTGGGCTGTGTCAAGTCTTTGCAGGTAACACTGGAGTGAAACAATGTCCCTCTGACCTGCTTTGTGCATCATGGGACAATTTTAAAGGATGGCACTTTCTCTTACAAATGTAAATTTCATGGTTGGGAAATAAGCTAAATATTATATATAACATGTGTAAGTTCATTTCAACAGTGTTATACTTGAGTATTGTGACTGTGCATAACGTTTTTCTGATGGCTGCATTGGTTCAAGCTTTTTTATTATGATAAAGTCCACAATTACTAGTTACTCCCCACTAGTTATGTAATTAAATAACAAAATACATTTCAATTTAATCAGAAAAAACTATGTCATTGAGTATCAGTTATGCTACTGGTAGAAATGTTGGTGATGTACAATGGGGTTCATCCAAATTATTTTTGATAGTATTATATAAAAAGCTCATATGAAGGAATGTGAAATGTATTCCTGTTGCTCCCCTTCCAATTTAAATGCAAGGTCAACTGAGAAAGACTCGTCATAAATGTTTGACTGTAATAAGTGTTGAGTACTATTAAGCCTTTTTAGCAAAAAAGCCCAGTTCAAATATTTGATAAGTCATTAAAATGTTATAAGTTAAATAAAATAACCTTAATGAATTAATTGAAAAATAATTAAATTACTACATTGATTACATTTGAACAAGGTTACTAGTAATGTTGCAGCCTTATGGCTAACCTGCAATTAAATATAACTCTATTTGGTAAACATATTTAATTATTATTTCAATATACTGCCACACATTTAGTCTCCTTTTGAAATATACTGTTATTGCGACACAGTCTGAAGTTAAAGTTAATATATAGTGATGTATTCATTACTTTGCCACACTGTCCCCTGCCAACATTGCTATCACTCTAATGCTTATGCCATTGTTTACAAAAGGATGTTACAAACCAACACACTATTTAAAACATCCCATTCATAAACTAAACTTATTACGGTCTTTTCTTAGGGTTGACTGCCTTTTCTGCAGCTCTCATCTACACATTAAACAATAGGGAAATCCTTCAGGACTCCAGAGAGCTGACAGCAGGACACTTTGGCTACTGCTTCATCCTGGCCTGGGTGTGTGTCCCCTTGTTGCTGCTTAGTGGGGTCATATACATCCACTTGCGTAAGAAAGAATGACCAGACAAATGAACACAATGTCTAACACAACGTTTTTTCTTTCTTTTGAAGTAACAAAACAATTGGTTTGACTTCTTGTTAATCAGAAATGTATTTTTTCAGGACTCACAAATGCATATGGTATGATCTTTGCTCAGGCTTCAACTAATGTAATGTTTTTTAATTATATAAATGACTACATGTATATTGTTTTTCCCTTGACGACATTTTCAATCCTCAACATTAAGTCAATATATAATGTCCATGACCAGGAAGATAAATACCAATCAGTTTAATGTATTTTTGTTAGTTTTAGGCTTTATACGGCATTTGAATTGCTTTTATATTTTTTCTAGAGCAAACTGGAAATCTATTTTTGTACCTAAAGCTTATGTAGAATATATTTAGTAACATCTTTCAATACATATCACTCTAAGAAACACAATGTGTGAAAGTCCACTGTTTTCATTTATGTGATAAATAATACATTGCACACTTGAAACCAAATAAATCTGTAAAAACACCTTTCAGACAGTATTTGAGCAAATGTAGGACATTTATTTTAATTAAAGTATCTGCACCAGTTTTTTGTTTTTTTAAATTGTATTTATAAAGGTTTTCATGTTTTCATGTTTTTAAGGTAACAGATTTACCAGCAGAGGGGAAACTAGGCCTACTGACGTCGTTGCCATAGCGACAGTAAACTTACAGTTTCTCAACAACTGCGTTAGCTTCATCAGCTAATTATATGTTGAAAACTAGCATAATACCGGTCGAGTGTTGTGTGTATCATTTGTATAGCCATTTGTCGCTATAATGGAAGATAGTCCTCGTGTTTTGGGGAAAGCATCCAAGATCATTTCCCTTGCTTTACCCAAAGGAACGGAAAAATTGTGTGAACTTTGTCAAAAAACAGCGCACCTGCAATGCACCAAATGTCGGGTCACCTTTTACTGGTAAGTTTAAACTATCAAAAATAATATATTTTATAATGAACGTCTAAGGCTGTATGTACTGTAGCCTACACGTTAAGTAGCCTACACGTTTGAGGGACTTTTACCATACTTGAGTATTTCAATTGTGTTGCTACTTTGTACTTCGAAAGCACTAGGCTA